GAAGAATCTTTGCTTGTTTTTCATGGGTAGGATGCTATTGCAGAGATAGTCTTTGCTTGAGAAAGGATTCTTGGGAAACAGGATGTACATGGATGCAAAAAAAATGCTAGGCAGTCAATACCTTGTCCACTGGAGAGTCAGCCCCAAGCTGGTTCTACATTCTGAGGTACCAACCAAAATATTAAACCTTGGTTCACCAATTTGGAACAGCTCCAGCCTCCTCTAATTGACCTGCTTGGCTGATCAATGACGGCACTAGAAGCAAACTGAACGGACATGTTCAACCAAACATGAGGGATAACCTAGACAAAGAAGGTGAGTGATTCAGAATCAAATTTGGTTCCTGAACAACACCAGTACACCATCCATCTTAAGATTCTGTTTATAAAGCTATTGTGAAAGAAAACTCAGTGTATCTAGTTATTATACAAAACAAGATAGCATTCAAAGCTTCAAGTTGTAGGAAAGAGCCATCCCTGTATGTATTACTCATTCAAGGAATGGTGAGTCAAGGTCAGGATGTCTCAGGAAAATATTAAAGCCAAGTCTACTGGTACTTCAAGTCTACCCTGAATTTGGACACTGGGAAGGGATGTAAAATGTGACTGAGGCCGAGAGGATGAGAGTCTAGTAGCAGAGAAAGAGTGGTTATCTTACTGCTTTTCACGAGAACACGCTCACTTATACATTCATGTATTTATTGAATAGGTAAGAGATGTCCATCGTGACGCAAGGAAGAGAGGCAAGAAAGCATGCACTCTGATAACAAATGTCAAGAACTTCAGAAACTTGAAAGAGAAGTCCCTTTTGCCAGGGACAACTGTCTGTAGGAAGAAAGCTACATGGTAGAGGTGGTTTTGAGTCGGGACTCAGAAGTTGCGAGCGGAAGGGACAGACAGAAAGGCAAGGATGCCAGAGAGAGTCCCGCTGCTGGGAAGCACAGAGCAAAGGCAGGAGCCAGCCATCTTCTGTTTCCTCTGGGGGATGGTCAAAAATCACTGTTCCTTAGATCCCTGGAATGTGTGTAAAGAAACAACTTCCCACCCAGTTCTAAATCACGGTGTGTCTTCCCTTCTCTCTGTCATTTACGTGCGGGGGGAGAATTAACATGGTGGCCTAGAAGCTGAAGTTTCTAGTTGAGTCCAATTTAGACAGGATCAGTTCAGCTCTTTGTGTCCTGGACGTTGATAGGCGGGATTCAGGCAGGGAGAAGGACACACAAAACTAGATGCAGTTGGAGAAGCAGCTGAGGAGGTTAGCACAGGAAGAGCGGTATCCAAAAACAACACTGCCAGAACGTACTGCAAACTTCGCACAGGTGCCAACCGTGTTGGTACCTTTGGCTTCCTCTTCAGAGCCTGGGCCTCCACCAGAACAGATAAAAAAACACACTGTTTTGGTTAGTTCTCAATGAGTCTCTCCCTCGGGGCTGGAAGCTCCTTGGAGGCTGGGAGTCTGGCTGATTTCACTTATGTTCCCGGCTCCTTGGCACTGGGCCAGGCTCATAATTAAAGCTCAGTATATTCTGAATGAATGAATGATGCATGTTGAAGAAGATAGATTTTTAATTTACGTAAATGATGGTGGGAGCATCTGAATATCTTTTTATGCTTGTCATTTGGGATGTCTAATTAGGATTGCCTAAAACAGTCATTGTCAAATGGTTTATTATTTATGGTAGGGCCAGCATGGTGGAATGGAAGAGTATGGGTGTAGATCTTGAACTGTGCACTCAACCTTGACCTTAGATACTCACTTTAAAAAAACTCAAGTGTAAAAAACACCGTTCAAGAGGCTTCCAATCAATGCTTTCTTATTTGTTGCTTGATGTTAGTGCCCAGCCATGTTCCTCACACTGGTCTTTCTATAACCCAGAGCCATTGTAAACATCTCGCAGAACTAAAACCTGACCTTTGCATGCATATCTATTACTTCATGTATAGCACTGGCAACTCTGAAGGTACTTTCTTAATTGATCTAAAGAGTGAGTGAAGATGACATCTTTTTTCTTTTTGCCAGATAGCTTCCTTATAACTTTGAATGACCTAGAAAAGGGCAGTAACCTGGACTTTTAAGAGCTAATATCTTAACGGCCAGTATGTTGGGCAGAGGGCAAGATCCATACAGGAGAAGATTCATGCACCTAGGAGGGTTTAATGCCTTTCTTTTATAACACTGTGCTGTGTTAACATTTTTCCAACACAGGCATCAATTAGAGCTCAGAAACAAGCATGGAGAAAAGCATTCAATTAAAGCAAAACATGATCAGCTCCCTCTGAATTCTACCTTATGTTTTAGCTCCTCTACTGGCTGGCTGGCTTGGAGTAATTTCAAATTCCCACTGGCTTAGTGGCAAGTCATCTTTTTATTCTTCTCTAGACACATTCCCCCTTTAAAAATTCCTTACACCGCCCCGTTTCTCATATGCATTATCTTTTCAGAATTAAAATCGCAAAGAGCTTCGTGAGCAAAGAACACATTTTTGGATAGTATGCCTTCTGGTGTTCACAGCTCTAGGGAACAGTTGAAATTTTCAATAAAGAAGTTTCTGGCTTTTGTTTGCTTTGAGTCGAAAAGGCTGTGTTAGCCCTAATAATCATCTCTCTTGCCTGTATCTGGGTATTTGGACAATTGAGAAAATATACAAATACCTAGCCACTATCACATGACTCAACAGGCAAAAGTGTGAGACTTACAAGCTCTCCTACAACAGAATCAAACTTTGGCTGTCAACATTACACTGTGGGTCTACACAGCCTGTCCCAAGAGATTCAGGTGGAAGTAGATGACACAGATACCCACTCAGCAAATCATGTTTCAACTCTCTTGTGTTCTGGCTGCTCTGCCCAGGCTATACAATAGAAGCTGGCTTTACTTTTATGATTCTGATATGAACTTCCTGTTGTTGTATCTTAACTGTCCGCCAAAGTCCCTCAATATGATGCATCCTGTTGCAATAGCAGAACCTTTAAGAGATGAGATTTAGCAGACTGCCCCCAAGGGGAATGCTGGCCTAAATCCTTCTCCCAGGTATCTTCCTTCCCAGTCTTGGGATATGTTCTGCCAATACGCTTCCACTCTGGTGTATTGCCTTCCACTGATAGACCAGAACCTTCAAAATTGTGAACCCAATTAGCCTTTTCTGTTTATAAGTTGATTATCTCAGGTATTTTTTTTTTTATAGTCACACAAAGCTGGTAAGCACAGTAGCTGGTACAATTTTTTTCCTACCAGCTTGGAGAAATCTGCTCTCACACAAATGCCTACTACTAGGAATCCAAATAATTTTCCCCCCACAAATTTGTCTGTTTGGTATTCTCAATGCAAGGAGCCCTCATAAACATCAGGGAAGGAAGACCTGTAACTTGGTTACTGAATAATTACAAATATTATTCTTCAATCTTTGATTATATTTACTGGATGCAAAAAAAAATCAGGAAGGAAATTTTAAAAATGCATTAATCATTGAATATAAACTGTAAATACCTAAGTGTTTGGGATTTCCTGTTTAAATAATGGAGTCCAGTTCCTACTTCACAAGCATAGATTTGACCTTGCACATATAGATCCAATCTGTTCTTCATCCAAAGACAAAACAACGAAGTAGCTGGCACTAATTCTATCTCTTGCTGAGAAAGGCAAAGCTGAGAACAAATAGTTAATATTTACCTGTCAGAAAGCAAGCATTGCAGGGCACCGAGCTATTATCTTGGTATAAATCTGAAATTGAAAAAAAAAAAAAAACAGAAATAGAGTGAGTTATAGAGAGAAGATTTTCTCGTATTTACTCTGTCTGGGGAAGATAAAGTACATCCCTGAGCTAGTGTATGTAGAGAAGGGTTGTGGAGGAAGGGACAATTGTTAAAAATAAATGACATTATCAATTTATAAATTCTAAAGTTAAAAATGATTTTCATTTAAAAAAAAATCTAAGATGCAAGGCAATTTCCTTATGTGAATAGTTTGGCTGTTCAAGCAGTCTTGACTTGCGCAAGACCGCCTTTAATAATCGTAGTCAATGAAAAAAATTCCTCCGATGTTGCCAATTTAGTGAGCATAAATTACTGGGAACCTTATATGGAATAAATTATGTTCTTAAGCCTTCTCAGATGCGTAGCCAGTAGAGATTTTTAAAGCAAGAGAACAAAATGCAAAATCTAGCTGGAAGGGGCATTGGTGGCATTTGGAGCCCTCTCTGGATTTGCCTCCTCTCCACCCTGTGAGGGGATTACAGGGCCACATTCCAACCCGAGGCTTCCTTAGCCACATGCAGCTCTTCAGAAACCTGCATGGGGTTTTCTTCTTAGGTCTAAATAGGGTAACAAGGAATATCGAAGTGTTGGTGTGGCAGTGGCAGTGAGGGGAGACAGATGAAGAGCAGGCCCGAGTCACAGAGACGACAAAAACAGACGGTGTCACTGGCTCCAAGCGAACTGTTACCTGACCCCTATGCCCTTGCTGAGAACCATAAACCTGCACCCCTTTCTGTAAAACTATCAACCATCGTAGGTGCAAATCCCAGGTTCTTCTGCATGCAAGGGGAGTTTAACTGATTTGCGGCTTTCCACATTGCTGATGATGAAGTGGTACTTCGGCCGCTGAACTTGATTTCAATTCGGAGATGAGACGCTGTATCCTCTCAAGTGACAGATGGAATTTCTGCTTCAGAATTCATTATAGAAGGCTAAAGACAATGGTGAAGAATTTGAATATACTAGACAAGTCAGCAGATCAAAATATAGTCAGACCACTAAAAGTTAAATAAATTGGAGAATTAAAATTCATTGGGAAGTATATTTTTTTTTTTTTTTTTTTTTTTTTTTTTTTTTTTTTTTTTTTTTTTG